TGGGAGTTGAAGTCCACTCATCTTAAAGTGGCCAAGTTTGGACAACACTGCATTAAAACATCTCAGTATCCCACACAGGTCTACCTATAAGTCTGTAATTCAGGGCAGCACCTTCAGTTTGAGATATTCACAATCTCCAGACAGAGGCCACTCAGAATTTCAAAGCATTCCTATGTTTGGCTTAGCTGCATCCCCAGTATTTGCATTTTCTCAAGACCCTGTGGACTTTTGGTGCATGCAGATGGCCAAAGGAGTTATTGATCAATGCTGGAAGCTTAAATCTGAAACATATTTTGCAGCAGCGAATTACTATTACATTTCCTCGGCCAATGTCCAGATTAGGTGGGTTCCTGTCTCGAAGCACAAAGAAAGTTGCTTGACATATTTTCCAGACCATTTTAAAATGGTGGCTTTTTAAAAATGTTATATTGAATTGGTATAGGTACCACCAATGCAGGTATGCTTCTCCCCCTGCTAATTAGTGTTTTGTTTTGTTTTTTAATCAGGGAGAGACCTCCCAGGATATTTTGACCACCTGCATCATCCTGAATACTAAAGCAAAGGAGCCAACCTCTCCACGACTGTTTATAGTGTGTTTCTCAACCTTGGCAACTTGTAAGATGGGGAATTCTGGAAGTTGAAGTCCACACATCTTAAAGTTGCCAAGGTTGAGAAACATTGGTTTATATTTTAGTAAATGTGGCCATGTTGAGACTATTTACTGGACTGAATTTTGTTAGGTTTTACTATCTTTGAGAAAAGTATTGTTATTACTTTGTTCCTATGGGGTGTTACAGTTAATTAAGTTTTCATGCTAGAGGTCCACTAGGGCGACTGTCCGTTTCCAAACATATTTCCTATTCCCCCTGGACCACAGCACCCTCTTCCGTTGGGGCGCAGGAACTTAGGGCCTACAAGGCCTGGCTGAGCCTGGAGCTAAAGTCAAGCCCGGGCAGCGCCTGAGGCATCAGTCGCCCAGCTTCCTTCTGCTACACGAGCCCCCGGCTTCGCGCGAACACCACGGAACTCCGTCTCCCCCTACTGGAGGCAACTGACACACTTTTCCCGGTAGTTTTTTTTTTTTTAAACCACAGAAATTACAACTCCCGGCATGCAGCGCAGCCGTCGCGTGGCCTGTCCGGCCGGGGAAACAATCCTATACGCTCATTGCTTGGCGCAAAGCCCGACGGGAGTGCTTCATGCCCAGGCGCTTTTCCGGTCTCTTCCCGCATATAGACTACAACTCCCGACTGGCTAAGTGCTTGGCACGTGCCTTGTCGGATATCCGGTGGGAAGGGAGAATAGGGTCGGGGGGTGTAGAAGGTTCCCTGGAACTCTGCGTAGGAGGAGGGGGACTCGGGAGCTATCATGGTAAGAAGGGGGGGCTGTCTTTCAAGGAGGCGGTGGGGTCCCTCCAGCCCCGGTCGGGGGCAGTGGGGTTACCAGGCGGGGGAAATGGGGGGTCTTGTTTGGAGTCGTGATAAAGCCTAATGATGCCATTATGTGATATGTGGGGTCGAGCACGGGGTCTCAGCGTGGCCGCGAGGCCCCCCAGGGCCATGCCGTGTTGCCAGGCGCCACCCAACCGTAACTGCCGCAGTCCTCCCCTCCCTCTCCTGCTCTGTGCTGATTTCCAGCAGCCCAAATCTTGAACGTTTTTCCCGCTTGCCACAATATCCGTCACCTAACAGCGACTGTGAGGGGGGTCCCCGCGGTAAATGAGGCTCAGAAGGGGGCCAGGAGCAAAAAAACCAGGTTCTGGACTTGCACAACAGCCCTGTAAGGTAGGCCATTTTGCTGGGGATGTTGCCCTCCAGCTCCTACCATCCCCAGCCGGCGTGATGAAAAAGAGGAGGGGCGCTGAAATCCAACCCCCTGGGAGAGCAATAGGGTGAGGAGAGGGAGATCAGTGGGCCGGCGAGGGGGTCCTGGGAGCCCGGACAACGGGGAAGCTTGTGCGAGCGTTTAGCCTCTTCAGGGCTTGTGCGTCTCCCCCTCCCGCAGATGGAAGAGCAGGACTGAGGTCCACTAATAGGAAGGGTCTTTCCGAATTGGGTGAGGCTGGTGGGCTTGGCAGTCAGGCAGGCGTGTGGAGAGAGATGCTTAATGGGATATGTAGTGGATGCGCCCTCCAGCTGCGTGGGGGGTCTGCAGCCAGTGAGAGGGCAGTGGAAAAAGAAATTTTGAGGGGCTGGTGCCTTCCCCGGCCCCTTTGCTCCCCCAGCCCTCACAAAGGGCTTTCTAGGATCTTAGATCCTGCCGACACTCTCCCTCGAATGTACGGCTGTGATTTTTAATCAGAAGCTATGCGTTGCAGGTGATGTTGGATATTCTTCCTGTGTAAGATTTTGAGGGGCTTTCAGGGAGCAGCTGGCTCATGCTTGAATGTTATTCGTTAACAAATGTAGCTTACTATTCACCATAGAACCTTGTCAGTACTTCATGCAGTTCATTATCCCTTGACGTTATAGTTCTCACATGCACACGATGTGTGTATTTGTGTGTATACATCTCTGTAATTGGAACTGTCCTGAAAATGTTTGCAGTCGATGAACCATGCTGTGGCAAGGAGCTGTTGGTTTTTCAGGTGCTCCATAGTGCTTCCTCCAATGCCCAGATGTGGTGGGTATTGAAGACAGTTCTGAAGAGTGGCAGACTGGGGAAATACTGCTCTACTGTATCATGTGGGAGATTCCATGGGCTCCTGTGATATAGTTCTGGTGCGTCAGTAATGTGAAAATCATGCACATTTTTCAAAATAAAAATAACCCTTATAATCCCATGCCCTGTATGTCAAATTCTAGGCTGAGCTGCGCTTAGCCCCGAACATTTATTTCTAACCAACTGTTTGTTAGAATTTGAGAGAGAATTTGTTTGCGTGGGGTCTCTCTGTGTGTGTTTTGAGTAAATCCTTGGCTGAAGTGAAATTCTGTAAGGATTGGCCTGTCTGCTAAATAATATGTAGTCAACCAACTTCCTCTGGTTTTTCTGTGGAAATGCATTTCATTTTACTGTCAGCCCTTTTATTGTCCATGTTACTCTGATACTAAGAAATGGAGCCAACTAGTTATGACATCAGTTATGTTGTAAAGGCTTGATTCACTATTGTGGTTCTCTCCTGTTCAAACAAACCTCTATATTTTTGACGGTATTTGACTCTTTTTCTCAGAAATGTCATTTGCTTTAAGAAATTACTACTTATCCAAGGGTGTTTTACTTCAAAAGTAGTGTAGTGCTCTGTTTTCTCCCACAACTCTTTTGGATTATGATTCCCGCTACTGACTACAGTGATGAAAAATAATGAAATGTGCCTTGTAATGCCACAGGGCAAACCCTAACCCTTCTGTGGTTGAGTCTTATCGGATGTAAGTATTTGAGTCTTGGGGTTTGCATGTTTTGTCTCATATGCACACATGCACACTCCAGCCCCTAAGTTTGGGGGCTGTGCCAGCTCATTTGGAATAATGAGTGTTATTATCGACACATTGTGAAAGTTCCCTTAAGACGACATCTTATATTTATGGCCAGCTTTTTTTGGCAAACAGCCCATTGCTATTGTACTGTCCTGCAATGGGTGGATCACCTGGACATCTTCTCTGACTAACCAGGACTTTCTTCCACATGAAACTGCTTGTATCAGTCCTGGAATCAAAAGAAAACGCTTCTTGTGCGGTGTTGGAACGGATAGCAAGCCGTTTGTCTTTCCTGCTTGTGCTGGGCTGGCTTTCTTGATCAGGGTGGGTCACTCCCTATCTCATGAACACACCAGTTGGAAAGTGGAACTGAGCAAATATGGAGTCAGGCCAGAAAGATTTTCTCAGTTCTTTGGAAAACACCCCATTCTCCAGTGTACAATTCATGCAGCAAAGGATGTCAGAAGGAAGTGGGCAGTAATTAGATCTGGTAACTGAAGCCAAAAGAGGAAACGACTGTTTTGTAGCAGCCTCCTGATGCTAGATAGAGGAACCGGGCACCCGCGGGCGTTCTGCATCACAAATGGCCCCACTGCCTGTATCTGCACGGGGGCATTAGCTTAATGGTGTTTGGGTTTCGGACGTCTGCAGCCTGTTTGTTGATTCTGTTTTACAGATTCGCTTTATCCTGATTCAGAACCGGGCTGGCAAAACCCGCCTGGCCAAGTGGTACATGCAGTTTGATGATGACGAGAAGCAGAAGCTCATTGAGGAGGTGCACGCAGTTGTCACCGTCCGAGACGCGAAGCACACTAACTTTGTGGAGGTAGTACCTTTGCGGGGTTATGGCCTCAGGGCATCTCCGTCTCAAACCAGGGCATTTCTGCCACCTGCGATAAGTGGTGGAAGTGCCATTTATGGCACTGAAAGACCATTGAAATTGCTTTAGACTTTCTGTTACTCCCACTGACTCTGTCTTATGCCCAAGGGTCCCTTCTGTCTGCAGGCAAAAATAAAAAAAAATCAAGTTTAAATTTGGGGAAGGGGAGGGCCCATGATCCTCCTGATGTTGCTTAGCTTTAACGCTCACCAGACCGAGGCAATTGAAGCTGGAGGTAGAGCTGAGTTTAGGGTTTCCATCCTTGCGTGAAAGTGGACCTATCTATTCTCAAGAGACTGGAATTCTTTGTGGGATTTCTGAAGCCAAGTAAATCAGCAGCTTTGGAAGCTTCCAGCCTTTTGCTCCTCAGTGTTTCACTTGCTCCTGTCAGCCTCCAGTTTCTTGCTAAAACACATCCTCCAAGTTCTCGAGAAGCCAGTTCTTTAGAACGCCTCATCAGCCCTCCTCTAGCCAGCAGGATGAGCATCTCTTGAGGCTGGAAGCTGTTTGTGAAACCCAGGTTTGCATGTGAGCTATTTGACCAAAGGGCTGATTTGCATAAAGCAGTTTCTTTGTGTTGAGAAGAGGCCCATAGTCTGGTGGTGGAACCAGCAGAAAAGCCCAATCTTGAAAGCCCAACCTTTCCACACTTAGGTGGAAAGAAGGTTGTTGCTTAATGAGCGCTGCTTCCACAACCAGCATGGCAGATTTCTCTCTGATGCAACTCCCCATCCTTGTCCAGCGTTGTCCTGCTTGTAACAGACACCAGTGTGTGTGTTTCCTCCTGTGACTGTGGTTTTGCCTCCTTTTCCCAGTTCCGCAACTTCAAGATCATCTACCGGCGCTATGCAGGGCTCTACTTCTGCATTTGTGTGGACGTGAATGACAACAATTTAGCTTACCTGGAAGCCATTCACAACTTTGTGGAGGTGAGTTTGGGCCTGTCCAGCTGCAAAGTATGTCTGTCTCTCTCACAGGCCAGTCAACAGCTGTCTTTGTAAAGCTGTTTCTGAATTGCACTGTTCCAGATTCGGCTTGCGAGGGGAATTGCCTAAACCACCCCCCACAATGATTTGATCCAGGAGTAAAGAAAGCCCTCTTGCCAGACCGCAGATTATTTCAGAACACAAAAGGCTGGCTGGCACATTAAAATTAAAGTCGGTACAAGAGTTGTTGTTGTTGTTTAGTCGTTAAGTCGTGTCCGACTCTTCGTGACCCCATGAACCATATTGC